AAAAAAAAAAAAAAAAAAAAAAAAAAAGAAAAAAAAAAAGAAAAAACCCGACTCACAAAAAAATCTCCCTCACCAACCATCCCAACTCAAACTGCGTTCGAATGTCAAATGGAGTTTAGCATCCTCCTATCATACTTAAGGCCATTTCTACTGTTCACCTTTAAAGTTTACTTTTGGAGGCTATTGAGATGCTTTGGTGTTTTCCTCTGGGGCAATCAGATTGAAAGCGATCAATATTTACTCAGTCTGAAAGGGCTGTTGAAAAGGCAGCTAACAACAAACTGCTTAGCTGCTCTCCCCTCTTTAATCTCAGGTTCACCGAAAGTTCAGGCAGAAATGAATTCAGTGATGGGTCACTTTAGAATAAGCCCCAGTGGTTAATCTCACTGCCTCGCTAAAGGCAACAATCGCAGAGCCATCCCTCTCTCTCCGTCCCTCTCTCGGTCTCCCCTGCGGCGGTAATTCCCTCTCCTTTTTGCTCGGTCGTTCCGCGGTGTCCCGGAGATATGCACCGGGCTGCGGGGAACCGTCCCGCAGGGGACGCGGGGAGTCCCAGGGGCAGGGCGAGATGCTGGGAGCTTCTCCCCGGCAGCTGCAGGGTCAGTTGCAGGAGCCTCGTCCCCCTCTCCGTTCTCGGTGGGAATACATAATAATGATACTAAATCTGGCCATGAGAAGAAGAAATCTGGGCAAAACGCGCTGGATGTCGCTACCAATCGTAGGAAATCTTCGAAGGCCAGAGATCACGCAGATTAGTCACTGCATCACCGCATGCTTAACGGGGGTTTGTTAGCACCTCTCTAACGGGAGCTCACGTTCGGGCCGGAGAGGCGAGCAGGTTTCCCCCCGCACATCGCCCCTCAGCCCACCTCCCCCAGCGCCCCCCCAGAGCACCGGGGCGCTGCGGGAGACTTGAGGGCGCGGAGGCGGCTCCCGGAGCGGCCGGGGGGGCTCCATGCTGGGCGGCAGCGCCGGGAGTGCGCCCGTAAGGGGCTGCTCCTCCGCCCGCTCACATTAGGGGAATTGAATCCTTTCGGAGGATTTCTCTCGTTAGCTTCCTTGCTTGTCTTCCAGAGGATTAGTTCCGTGCCAGCTCCTTAAACTACAGGAGAAAAAAACCCAAAAGAAAAAAAAAAAAAACAACCCACAGAAATAACCAAATGGATAATATTTAATTAAATAGCAAAATAATATCTAAAATGATCACAAATATTTCTTCATAGCTTTCTTCTTCCCCTCTCCTTCCTCCCTTTCTTCCTTCCAAGGCAAACATTCCCGTTCTCCCCCAGGCACACCATTTGGCCGACTCGCGCTGTTAACATTATTCTTTTATGGTTTATGTGTCAAAAAATATTACAGGTCACAGTTACTCCTGTTTCAGGAACAGAAAGACCATTGGAATCAACGGGAGCCTCTGGGAAGAAAGTTCCGAAGAACTCGGGGCCAAACTGTTGATTCTAATCATGTGAGGAGCCCCATTTACCATGCAACCACCAAAAAAATGACGTATTTTAGTAATACGAGCAGAAATCGGCCCGGAAGAAAAGCTTCCGCGCCATTTTTTTCTTCTTTTTCCTTTTTTTTTTTTTTTCTTCCTTTTTAATGGGGCAGTGCCATATTTGAAGCATTTGTTCCATGTTCAATGTTTCAGACATTACTTTCACAATTCTTTTGGCTTTCCGATCTTCTTTTCTTGAAAGTTCCTGTCTCGTGATGTGAAATGGCCACCGGTGATTCTTATGAAAATGTGACCAAATGATGATCGACCTCTCTTAGGGTGAAAACAACGGGCGCTTCGCGGTTTTTGAGTGGGTCCGGTTTATAAACACAAAGCCAACGCGTTGCCAAAAATAAGTAAGTAAATGAATAATAAAAACCATAAATCAAACGAAACAAATACAAGACCAAAGGAGAGCAGAACGGGAGCAGCGGGGGGGACAGGAGGCCAGCCGCAGCCCCAAACTTTCGCCTCCGCTCTCGTCGGTGTTAGACGCGGGGGAGAGGGGGGTTGGGAAACAGAGGGGCTCACGGTGCGCTCCGCTCGGAACAGCTGTAGGAGGTGTCGGAGCGGCGGGGAGCAGCACGACCCCAACCCCGGCCCGGCTTCCCCGATGGGGAGGGCGGTATCTGCGTCCCACCCGCTCGGCTGTGCGAAGGTCTGAGGGGTATTGCGTAATTGCAGCCCGGGCTGTAAGCCGGCCAGAGGAAAACCAAGTCAAAACCCAGTAATAAGCTATCGATTATTAAAAAAAAAACAAGAAAAAAAAAAGAA